TCACTTTGGGACGGAGGTGGCGATGACGAGGATGATGACCAGCACGACGGTGACTCCAGCAGACAGGAAGTAGCACTTGATCTTGTGTCTCTGGAGCTGGGAGGGAGAGAGAGGGTGCTGGGTCCTGGCCCCCAGCCTCCCATCCGGGGGCACATGACCCACGCCTGCTGGGGACTGGCATGCAGAGGCCGGGCCCACCGAGGGCAGAGCCGAGGCAGAAGCTGTCCCTCAAGAGGGTCTGCCCGGGCTGGGCTCGGCGGTGACAGGTGCAGGGGTGGGTGCTCCTGGAGGAGGTGGGGCTGACCTCGGGATTGGGGCTCAGAGTCCACAGTGAGCTTTGGGGTGTGGATCCGGTCCCGCCCTAGGTACTCTCTCAGGTGGGGGCACTGCTTGGGTGACCAGCCCATCCAGCTGCCGCGGGAGGGACCCACACACCAGCCCAAAGACCAGCCACCATCACAAAGGCCCAGGCCGAGGGCAGGATGCGGCTCTGAGGTCACGTGACGAGCCCTGGATGGTGTGGGTGTATCTGAGACACACTGCTGAACAGACAGGCAGTGTGTGTGGGCGGGGCACAGGGGGCCGGGCTGGGGTGGGCCAGGGGGGATCAGCTCCGCCCAGGACACATGGCAAATACCCTCCCCGTCCCCCTGCCCTGGAGGGCGGCCCCGGGGACTCCCGTCTGCAGGGGAGGGCTCAGCGCAATGAAGAGACTGCCCGGCTGGTGGCTCAGTGGTTGAGCATCGCCCTCTGATCCAGGAGGTCGTGGCTCCATTTCTGGTTGGGGCACAGGCAGTTGTGGGCTCAGTCCCCAGAGGGGGGTGCAGGAGGCAGCCATCCATGACTCTCTCCTCACTGATGTTTCTCTCTCTCCCTCTCCCTTCCTCTCCGACATCAGTAAAGATGTTTTTTAAAAAGAGAGAGACCAGCCCAAGGCCAGCAGCTCGTGACGATGGCAGGACTGGGGCCAGGCACAGAAGGGGGCCGAGGTGCCCCCCTGCACCCCGGTTCCCTAGAGCCCGGAGCAGACCGAGCCCGAGGAGGCGGGGGGGGGGGGGTGCGGCACAGAAACAGCATCCGGGCCGGGCCTGGCCTCACACCCCCCGCACTGGGCCTGACCGTGGCCCCGGCAGAGCCCAGCTGACAGCCCTGCCCGCCATCTGCCAGGCCGTGCCCAGGTGCCCGGCAGGCCCAGCCCAGCCTCCGCGGGGCAGGGGCAGGGGCAGGCTCCCGCTGGGGCAGGATCCACACGCAGGCCCGCCCTCCTGAGCCTCCGGCCCATCCTCCACCCCCACCCAGGCTGAACGGGGGAGGGGAGCCGGGAGCCGCAGGGCCGGCTGGAGTGAGAAGCAGGCCGCTCACCCAAACACTTCCCAGGACTCCCAGGCTCTGACCAGCATCCCCCCATCCCCTCCCCATCCCTCCCCGAATTCCCCCCATCCCTTCCCCCATCCCTCCCCCGATCCCTCCATCCCCTCCCCATCCTCCCCCCCATCCCTCCCCCGATCCCTCCATCCCCTCCCCATCCTCCCCCCGATCCTCCCCATCCCTCCCCCCATCCCATCCCCATCCCTCCCCTGATCCCCCCATCTCTCCCCCCCATCCCTCCTCACAATCCCTCCCCCCATCCCTCCCCCCCATCCTTCCCCCCATCCTTCCCCTGGACCCCTCCCCCGCCAGCAGACCCAGGGCCTCTGCAGCAACATCAGGGGGCAGAGGCGGGCGGGCGGGCGGTGTGACAGGCGGGCCGGCTGCCAGATGCGGGGGGGGGGGGGGGGAGACATATGGTGGAGGCGGAGTCGGCCTTTGATGGGGGCTGGGAGCCCAGCCCGCCAGCTCCTCCGGCACAGCCACGTCCCTCCCACCGCCTCCCTCCCGGCCCAGCACCTGCACCCCCACCCGCCCAGGGGAGCTCCCGGCAGGGGACGGGCACCTGCCCCTCCCATCCTGGGGCTCAGGGCAGCCCCAGGCAGGAGGCGGGAGGGCGGCCGGTCCACAGCTCACCCCACCTCACCCCACCTGGTCCACAGCTCACCCCACCTCACCCCATCTCACCCCACCTCACCCCACCTGGTCCACAGCTCACCCCACCTCACCCCACCTCACCCCACCTCACCCCACCTGGTCCACAGCTCACCCCACACCTCACCCCACCTCACCCCACCTCACCCCACCTGGTCCACAGCTCACCCCACACCTCACCCCACCTCACCCCACCTGGTCCACAGCTCACCCCACCAGGAGCCCATGAGCGGGAGCCCCTCCCCCAGCGGGAGCCGGGAGCCGGGTACACCGCCTCCACAGCGCCGGCGGGAAGGCAGGGGCCACAGGGGGCTTCTGGGAAATGGGGGGGAGCTCCCGAGAGCACCTCTGCGTCCCCCAGGGGGCGCCGGGGCGGCCATGGAGCTGGGGAGAGCTGGCCCTCACTTTCTGGAGCTCCTTCCTGAAGGCAGAGGCCCGGGCCCAGGCGGGGCTGCTGGACTGAGGGACAGACAGATGGGTGATGGACGGATGGATTGATGGATGGGCAAACAGAAGGATGGAGGATGGACAGACGGAAGGACGGAGGGATGGATGCACCCATGTCCACATCAGCCCTCCCCCAGGCCGGCGCTGACCTGGGAGGGGGTCAGGGTGGGCTGCGCCTCCCAGTCTCCTGAGTCTCGACCTGCAGGGCCCAGAGGGGACTTCCTGGTTGAGGGGCCCTCACAGAGGTGACCCCGCCACAGCGGGTCCCTAGGGTGGCCCGGACCCCGCCTGACTGGAGTCCTTAGGAGAGGGGGACGCTTGGCCCAGGGGCGCAGGGAGCGCGAACGTGGGGCCCAAGGTCCCGGCCGGACTCCCGGCCCCTGACCCGTGAGGCCCCGATGCCCTCCGGGGGGTGGGGGCAGAGTGGGCCGAGGCCAGTGAGGAGGCCCTCAGCCCGGCCCGCCCCAGGAGGGCCGCCTGGCCCTGGCTCCCACACCGGCAGCACCAGTGACTGATCGTCTGAAATGACAGCCTCAGCGGGAGGCGGTGGGGAGCCAATTAGCGCCAATTACGCTCCCGATTGGGGCCCAATTAGTGTCTCGGTGGAGCCGTCGCCATCAGACTGAGAGAAGGCGGAAGAGTTCCACCTCCCCAGCCCCGGCCCGCTGCTGCCTGCTGCCCCAGCAGCCCCGGCGCCCCGGGGAGGCGGCCGGGCTGGCCCTCCCTGTCCTGCAGCGCCCCTGCCCGCGCTCCTCCCTCGGCCTGGGCGCCTTCACTTGGAGAGCTCTCCTCTTCTCCAAAACCAACGCCAGCAGCACCGCCTCCGGGTCCCTCCCTGATGCTCCCAGCCCTGCTTCCCTCAGTGCACAGCCCCCGGCACCCTCTGCGCCTGCCCCTCTCCCACTAGGCTCTCCCTGACGGGGCGATGTTCGGCCCAGTGCCGCCCCAAACTTGGCGAGGCTCAGGCCTCATGGGCACCGAGTCCGCGGTGAGGAAGGATGGGCGCTGGGCTGTCAGCCCCAGGGCCACACGCAGGTGCCCCTCTGCCTGGTCCCCTTCCACTGAGACGAGGGGCAGGGGCTCTTCGGGGACATCCAGAGGGCAGGAGGGGGGCAGGGCGGGCAGGGGCGTGACCCAAGGCCTGGCAGAAGCTTGGCCCACATGCTGCAGCCCTTACGGACCAGCATCTGGGCGTTAGGGACCAGCATCCGGGCCTTAGGGACCAGCATCCGGCCTTAGGGACCAGCATCCGGGCCTTAGGGACCAGCGTCCGGGCCTTAGGGACCAGCATCCGGGCCTTAGGGACCAGCGTCCGGGCCTTAGGGACCAGCATCAGTGTAGGCCCAGCCAGTGGGGAGCACCTTCTCACAAACGGGAACCAGAGAGGCCAAAGGGCCGTCTGCCTCCTGTGCAGGGCTCCCTGGGAGGCTCAGGGAGGAGGGGCAGGGAGGGGGAGGGAAAGGCGTTTGGGGAGCTCCCCTCCCACCCTCTACAGGGCCCTGCGGGCAGTGACCCCAGCGCTCCCGGAGGGCGGTGGGCACGTGTGCGGGTGCTGCCCCTGACCCCGGGACCCTCGTCCCCGCGGAACCTCCCGCGCCTGCGTGTCCTCAGAAGCCGTTTCTCATGCAAATGCCTTCGGAACCCGTGGCTCCTCAGAAACGTCTCTGTGTATATTTAGACTCCGTTTCTAAAGAATTATTCAGAACCAGCGGGTTTGGGAGATGGGTGTGGAATGGATTGTTTAAGTGCTTGCATCCAAAATACCCGTGTTGCTGAAACCGGTTTGGCTCAGTGGATAGAGCGTCGGTCTGCGAACTCAAAGGTCCCAGGTTCGATTCCGGTCAAGGGCATGTACTTTGGTTGCGGGCACATCCCCAGTAGGAGGTGTGCAAGAGGCAGCTGATTGATGATTCTCTCTCATCGATGTTTCTCTCTATCCCTCTCTCTTCCTCTCTGTGAAAAATCAACAAAATATATATATTTTTTTAAAATACCCGTGTTCTCAGTGGGTGACAAATGCCAGCCTATCACAATGGCGCGTTCTGCGCTGACTGGGCACCCTGTCCCGAGGGCCAGCGAGGAAGGGGCGGGTGCAGAGAGCTCTCCGCTGGGATGGCCATGGGGTCCATGCAACCTCGAGGCCTGTCCCTGGTGCTGCCAGAGAGCCCACGTGTGCTGGCACCACAAGGGCAGGCCACCCGAGGAGAGGGGCAGGCCACCCGAGGAGAGGGGCAGGGCGGGGAGGGGCACCCTGGTGGCCAGCGGAGAGGAAACACACTGCTGTCCGAGACAGGGTCTCATCAGAGGGAAGCGGAGAGGGCACCTAGGCAAGCGGCAGACAAGACCCTCCAAAGCGTGGCAGCCTGGCACTCCCCTGGCAGCAGGCATGTCCCACTGTGGCCACTGAGCTGCGGGCTGCTCACAGACAACAGCTGGCTGAGGAGGGAGCTTAGGAAGACGGAGGCTGTCGCTGGAGAAAGCCGTTGTCCACGGGTGTTTACTTTTACTTTTTAAAAACATAGAGTTGCATTGATTTCGGAGAGGAAGGGAGGAGAGGAAGAAACATCAAGATGACAGAGAATCATGGGTCAGCTGCCTCCTGTTCGCCCCACACTGGGGACCGAGCCAGCAACCCGGGCCTGTGCCCTGATCCAGACCAGGACCGTGACCTCCTGGGTCATAGGTCAACGCTCAGCCATTGACACTGAAGGTGTCTGGGCGCCCGTGGCCTCCTGCAGAGCAGCAGCCGGGGCGCTGTCCGTGGTGCTGACGCTCAGGCCTGGAGCCGTCCGGACCAGGAGCCCATGTCAATGGTGGGCGTGCTGAGGCCCAGGGTCACACGGAAGGTGAGTGACAGGCCCAGCCCAAGTCGCCTGGAATGAGACAGACGTCCCACCCCCACCGTGGCCAGGCCTCTGTTCTCACGGGGACCTTCTGGGAGCCGGCCATCCCTGCGGCCGGGCTCCGAAGGAGAAGCCAGGGCCCCCAGAGCCACCACAGGAAAGGGCCAGGAGAAGGTCACGGTTAGATTCCGGTCAACGGCACAGGTCTGGGTTGTGGGCTCCTCCATGCCTGGGGCAGGGGTGGGGGTAGGGGGGAGGGAGGGAGGGAGCGTGCAGGAGGCAGCCCATCAATGATTCTCTCTCATCATTAATGTTCCCCTCTTCCTCTCCCTTCCTCTCTGAAATCAACAAAATTAACAAACATATATACATGGAAGAACAAGATTGAGGGGTTCTTCTGCTCACGCCCTCTCCCCACGACTCCATGAGCGCCGGGAGCAGCTGGAGAGCTGCCCATCCCCATCCCCATCCCCATCCCCATCCCCATCCACATCCCCATCCCCATCCACATCCCCATCCTTATCCCCATCCCCATCATCCCCACCCCCATCCCCATCCCGATCCCCATCCCCATCATCCCCATCCCCATCATCCCCATCATCCCCATCCCCATCCCCATCCCCATCCCCATCCCCATCCCCATCCTCATCCCCATCCCCATCCCCATCATCCCCATCATCCCCATCTCCATCCCCATCTCCATCATCCCCATCATCCCCATCATCCCCATCATCCCCATCCCCATCCCCATCCCCATCCCCACCCCCATCCCCGCCCCCATCCCCATCCCCATCATCCCCATCCCCACCCCCATCCCCATCATCCCCATCCCCATCATCCCCATCCCCATCCCCATCATCCCCATCCCCATCATCCCCATCCCCATCATCCCCATCCCCATCCCCATCATCCCCATCCCCATCCCCATCCCGATCCCCATCCCCATCATCCCCATCCCCATCCCCATCCCCATCCCCATCCCCATCCCCATCATCCCCATCCCCATCCCCATCATCCCCATCCCCATCCCCATCCCCATCCCCATCCCCATCCCCATCCACATCCCCATCCCCATCCACATCCCCATCCTTATCCCCATCCCCATCATCCCCACCCCCATCCCCATCCCGATCCCCATCCCCATCATCCCCATCATCCCCATCCCCATCCCCATCCCCATCCCCATCCCCATCCCCATCCCCATCCCCATCATCCCCATCCCCATCCCCATCATCCCCATCCCCATCCCCATCCCCATCCCCATCCCCATCCCCATCCACATCCCCATCCCCATCCACATCCCCATCCTTATCCCCATCCCCATCATCCCCACCCCCATCCCCATCATCCCCATCCCCATCATCCCCATCCCCATCATCCCCATCCCCATCCCCATCCCCATCCCCATCCCCATCCCCATCCCCATCATCCCCATCCCCATCCCCATCCCCATCCCCATCCCCATCCCCATCCTCATCCCCATCCCCATCATCCCCATCATCCCCATCATCCCCATCCCCATCCCCATCCCCACCCCCATCCCCATCCCCGCCCCCATCCCCATCCCCATCATCCCCATCTCCATCATCCCCACCCCCATCCCCATCATCCCCATCCCCATCCCCATCCCGATCCCCATCCCCATCATCCCCACCCCCATCCCCATCCCGATCCCCATCCCCATCCCCATCCCCATCATCCCCATCCCCATCCCCATCATCCCCATCCCCACCCCCATCCCCATCATCCCCACCCCCATCCGCATCATCCCCACCCCCATCCCCATCATCCCCATCCCCATCATCCCCATCCCCATCCCCATCATCCCCATCCCCATCCCCATCCCGATCCCCATCCCCATCATCCCCACCCCCATCCCCATCCCGATCCCCATCCCCATCCCCATCCCCATCATCCCCATCCCCATCCCCATCATCCCCATCCCCATCATCCTCATCCCCATCCCCATCCCCATCATCCCCATCTCCATCCCCATCTCCATCATCCCCATCATCCCCATCATCCCCATCATCCCCATCCCCATCCCCATCCCCATCATCCCCATCCCCATCCCCATCCCCATCCCCATCCCCATCCCCATCCCCATCCTCATCCCCATCCCCATCCCCATCATCCCCATCATCCCCATCTCCATCCCCATCTCCATCATCCCCATCATCCCCATCATCCCCATCATCCCCATCCCCATCCCCATCCCCACCCCCATCCCCATCCCCGCCCCCATCCCCATCCCCATCATCCCCATCTCCATCATCCCCACCCCCATCCCCATCATCCCCATCCCCATCCCCATCCCGATCCCCATCCCCATCATCCCCACCCCCATCCCCATCCCGATCCCCATCCCCATCCCCATCCCCATCATCCCCATCCCCATCCCCATCATCCCCATCCCCATCCCCATCCCCATCCCCATCCCCATCATCCCCATCCCCATCCCCATCATCCCCATCCCCATCATCCCCATCCCCATCCCCATCCCGATCCCCATCCCCAGCCCGTGGCGCTGCCTCTGCCCTGCCATCGGAGCCTCCTTTAGGCCGAGAAGGCCCCGCCCGGAGCCAGGCGTGGCTCATTAGAGGGGCGGCTCCCATCCCAGGGCCCCCCTCCGCCGCCCGCACCCCGTCTGCAGGGCACCCACGTCAGAGATTGAGGTGTGGCCGTGCGCCTGGCTCACTTCTGTTTCTCTTGTGCTGTCAGAGGTAGCGGACAGGAGACGGGTTAATAACACGGGCAGCAGGTGGGGCAGCGGGAGCGGCCGGCCCCGCGGAGCCCCTGGCCGTGGCCCAGCTCCATCGTGATGTGGGGCGCCCTCTGCTGAGCCCGCGGGCCGCACAGGGGTGTGGGCACGCGGACCTGCTTAGCCACCGCTCAGGGCCAGGGCCAGGCACGTCGCTGCGAGCCGGCCAGGACCCAGGCGGACGCCGGCCAGCTCCTGGGGAGCGCGGCCGTGGCCGTCCGCCCAGCCGGCCTCCGAGGGGCTCCGCTCCGAATGAGGCCAAGAGGCTGGGCCCATGGGACCCACAACACTGCTCCTCTGAACTTGAAGGCAAACAGTCTCATTTGCATGCAATTTGCATACAGCTGCTGAAAACCAGCCCACATTCCCCACCATTTTAACACATTGTTTCTGCCTTGAAAGGGACCTTCCCACGCACACGTGCGCACACACATGCCAGTTCCCCACGCCGCCACGCCGTGTCCCCTCGTCACCCCTGGAGCAGCCGGGGTCACCAGGCAAAGCCGGGCGGGAGGAGCACTGGCCCTGCAGGCTGCCCTGGGAGTCTAACCTCGGGGGGAGGGGGTCCGGCTGCAGAGTGACTGTCAGCATCTCGGGCCAGCTCCCAGCTCCCTGCCCTCGGACCAGACGCCCACCCGCAGCGGGTTACCCCAGCCCCGGCTACAAAACGAATGACGCCTGGCGGGCGGCGCTCAGTAGCTGGAACCAGGAACCGGGAGGTCAGTGTGATTCCTGGTCGGGGCCATCCACCCAGTGCCCATCTGCCCACCACCCACCGTGCACCCACCCACATTGGCCACCTGCCCCTCTGTTTGTTATGTGTCCATTCCCTCCCTGCTCACCACCTGCCAGTCCTTTGTTCAGTCACCACCTCTCATCCCCCATCCAACTCCTTCCTCTCATCTACCCATCCCCCATCTACCCATCCCTCCCACCCATCCCCCCTCATCCACCCATCCTCCATTCCCCCTCCCCCCATCCACCCATCCCTCCCACCCATCTCCCCTCATCCACCCACCCACCTCCTCCTTCCTCTCATCTACCCATCCCCCATCCACCCATCCCTCCCACCCATCCCCCCTCATCCACCCATCCCCCATCCACCCACCCCTCCCACCCATCTCCCCTCATCCACCCACCCACCTCCTCCTTCCTCTCATCCACCCATCCTCCATTCCCCCTCCCCCCATCCATCTATATCTCCCACCCATCCACCTCCTCCTTCCTCTCATCTACCCATCCCCCATCTACCCATCCCCCCCATCCACCCATCCCCCATCCACCCATCCCTCCCACCCATCCACCCTCATCCACCCACCCACCTCCTCCTTCCTCTCATCCACCCATCCTCCACGCCCCCCATCTCCCCCATCCATCCCCCAACATTCCCACAGCCAGCAGGCCCGCACCCTCCACGGGTGACACCGAAGGAGGCAGGGAGACCACCCTGGAGGCGCAGACCCGCCCCCCCTCCCCGCCCTCATGCCAGCCCTGGGCTCAGAAATGTAGCGTGGGGTTTCCCTCCCCGGGAGGCTGGGGCCTGAGGCTTCTGGGACGGGATGGGACGAGGCTCGGCTGTGCTCGGACTTACGTGGTGCCGGCTGGCTCCTGCCAGGAGCTCACTGGCGGCCTCGGTGTGGGCGGACGCCGCCTCCAGGCTGGCTTCAATGCTATCTGCAAACCAGACAACAGGAGCGGTTATGTGGGGGGGGCCACTCCGTGGGGGGGCCACTCTGTGTGAGGGGAACACTCAGTGCGAGGGCCACTCTGTGTGAGGGGAACACTCATGTGGGGGGCCACTCAGTGTGGGGGCCACTCCGTGTGAGGGAACACTCCGTGTGGGGGCCACTCATGTGGGGGGGCCACTCAGTGTGGGGGCCACTCTGTGTGAGGGGTCACTCAGTGTGGGAGCCCTCAGGGGAGGGAACTGAAAACAGCAGGATGCCCTCCCACACTGAGTGGCACTGAGTCCCCCCAGCGCGCGCACACACACACACACACACACACACACACACACACGCTTCCTGAGAGAGGCCACAGGACCAGCAGCAGAACGAGCACCTCAGGTGCCCCCCCCCCAGCACTCCCGCTCCTGCCCTCCCTCGTGCAGCCCCGGGCGGGAGGAGCCAGGGCCATGGAGGCCAGGACCGTCCAGGAGAACCGTGGGTCCCTCCTGTGTGAGCCCCCGCCCCCCTTTTCCTAGGCGAGGAGACCGCTCAGAGCCCGGAACCCGCGCTGGCCTGGCTCCTCCGGGGGCGGCGCCCACGCCTGGGAGAGGGCCGGACGGGGAGCGGTGGCTGGATGGCGTGGCACCCACCGATGGCCTCTCCCTGCTCCGACACCATGGAGGCCAAGTCCTTGAGGATCTGGGTCACGTCCAGCAGGTCGCTCTGGGGAAAGGAGACGGGGCCGTGAGCTGCCGGGCTGCAGCGGAGGCCCAGGCCGGCTCCGAGGGCCGCGAGAGCTGGCCGCCGACACGCCCAGGCACTGACGGCGGTGCTGAGGGCGCCAGGGCCGGGCGTGGAGCCTGCTGGCGCTCCTGCCTCTGGCTCGGAGCACCTGCAGGGGACACGGAAAGCCTGGGCGCGCTCCGAAACACCTCTGTGCGTCCTCCGCTCAACACGGGGTCCTGGCCACCCTCCACCCACGAGGACGTGGGTCCGGTTAGCGGAGCAGCGGACTGTGAGATCTGTCCCGTGTTTACGGCTCTGCACCAGCCAGACCTCGGCCAGAGCCCACCTGCCCGGCTCCCGCACCACCCCGGGGGCTGGGCCGGCCTCCTCACCAGCCTCTCCCTCCTAAGCTGCCAGGTAGCCATGGCAACCGAGCAGCTGGGGCTCTGAGCGGCACCCGGGTCAGGTGACAGGCGCTCGGCCGGGGAGCAGGGAGCGTGCTCCAGGTGAGCCGGTGAGCTGGGCTGGCGGAGGCCGCGGGAGTGGCCGTGCGGGCGCCAGTGTGCGGGCCGGTCAGCGCCGGTCAGCCGCCGCGCTGGCAATGGTCGGGCATGCGCCTCTCCTCTAGCTCTCCTTCCCGGGAGACGGCACTGCCTGCCCCAACAGGAAGAGCCAGGCCCCGGAGGCGCTGCCGACCTGGCGTGGGTGCGTGACCCCCGCGTCCTTCTCATCCAGGAAGGAGGCCAGCACGGGGGCAGCGTCAGAGCCCGGCCGCCCGCTCCGGTCAGAGCCGGGCCGCCCGCTCCGGTCAGAGCCGGGGACCAGCCGCTCCGGTCAGAGCCGGGCTGGCCGCTCCGGTCAGAGCCGGGGCCGCCGCTCCGGTCAGAGCCGGGGACCCCAGGCCTGCTCGCGGCTGCGTGCTCAGCAGAGGCAGAGGGCGCGGACAAACAGCCTAGGACGGAGAGTGCAGGACGGAGCGCCTGGCCCCGGACAGGCAGTGGGAACTCCACCTTCACTGGTGCAGGGCCCCGGGCAGGGAGGCCCCTGCAGCTCAGGCAGCAGCCACCACAGGGAACCCAGGGTCCAGTGCACATGCACACTCACGCACACGGTGCACGCACGCACACATACACATACACATGCACACACATGCACGTGCACCCACGGTGCTCTCGCACACTGTGTGCACACACATGCACACACATGCACACACACAGCTCTCACGAACACAGTGCACACACACACACGGTGCACACACACGGCGCTCACGCACACGGTGCACGCACACACGGTGCACACACACACGGTGCTCACGCACACGGTGCACGCACACATACACACACATGGCGTGCACACGCACACACAGGCACATGCACACACACAGCGCTCACACACACGGTGCACACACGCACACACACACATGCACATGCACAGACGGCGCTCACGCACACGGTGCACACACACGGTGCACACACACGGCGCTCACGCACACGGTGCACGCACACATACACACACATGGCGTGCACACGCACACACAGGCACGTGCACTGGCCTCACCTCCAGCCGCAGGACGGCCTCCTCGCGCAGCCGCACGGCCTCCAGGTCCTGCTCCGTGAGCTCGGGGAGCAGTGCCTGCGCCGGGCCCGGCCGCTCGCTGTCGCCCCCGCGGACACTCTCCTCCTGGTACGCCAGCGCCGCCCCAGGGGCCCAGGGGCTCTGTGGTGACGACAGGCGTTACCGGGCGCCCGCCTGCCACAGGCCAGCCCTGGCCTGCACCGCCTCCTCCACCAGGCGGCCTCGGCTCACCCACCGGGCGCCTCAGGAGCCTGTTCCCCCACCGCACCCCATGCCCGCCCCCCACCCCCATCCCCCACCTCACCCCCTATCCCCATCCCCCACACCACCCCCACCCCCATCCCCCACACCACCCCCACCCCCCACCTCATTCCCATCCCCCACTTCACCCCATCCCCCACCTCACCCCCTATCCCCATCCCCCACCTCACCCCCTATCCCCATCCCCCACACCACCCCCATCCCCATCCCCCACACCACCCCCACCCCCCACCTCATTCCCATCCCCCACTTCACCCCATCCCCCACCTCACCCCCTATCCCCATCCCCCACACCACCCCCACCCCCATCCCCCACACCACCCCCACCCCCATCCCCCACACCACCCCCACCCCCCACCTCATTCCCATCCCCCACTTCACCCCATCCCCCACCTCACCCCCATCCACCACCTCACCCCCATCCCCGTCCCCCACCTCTCATCCCCCACCTCTCACCCCCCACCTCTCACCTCCCACCCCACCCCCTGGCGGGCAGTGGCCTGAGCCCCCTCCCTGGGCTGGGGTTTCGTCCCTGCAGCCCCTGGGCACGGGGCTGCTGAGCGGGCGGCAGGGTCAGAGACAGGCGGACACCCGCCCGCCCTGTGGCCCGGGCGGCCCGTCAGGCTCTGGCCACCCCGAGCCTGGCCGCACCCAGCCCTCAGCCGGGGCCACACAGAGGCCCAGGGCCGCCCGGGCCGCCTCCTGGTGGCGCCTCCAGGGTCAGGGACCCCTCGGCCTGGGGCCTGCAGAGGGTGAGCAGGTCCCCTGGGCGACTGCACGGCCATGCGTGTCCTCCCCCTCCCCCTCCCGCCCCAGCCCCGCGCAGGAACACGATCCAGGGTCCAGCTCTTCCGCACGTTTGGGACAGGAAGGCGGCGGCCGGGCCTGGGGACAGCGCCTGGACGGCGAGAGGCCAGCGTCCAGATGTGCTTGCTGTACACGGAAACCAGGAAGTCCACATACAAGAGCTGCTGCCCCGCAGTGACCGAGGCCAGCAGGCCGGACAGGAGCCGGGCCGGGGCTGGGGGGGCGGGGGGGAGAGGGCTCAGGGCAGGAGTGGGGGGAGGACAGGGGGAGGGCTCAGGGCAGGAGCCGGGCCTGGGGAGGGGCGGGCTCAGGGCAGGAGCCGGGCCTGGGGAGGGGGCGGGCTCAGGACAGGAGCCGGGCCTGGGCCAGGCCTGGGGAGGGGTGGGCTCAGGGCAGGAGCCGGGCCTGGGGGGGCTGGGGGGAGGGGCGGGCTCAGGGCAGGAGCCGGTCTGAGGAGGGGGCGGGCTCAGGGCAGGAGCCGGGCCTGGGGAGGGGGCGGGCTCAGGACAGGAGCCGGGCCTGGGCCAGGGCTGGGGAGGGGCGGGCTCAGGGCAGGAGCCGGGCCTGGGGAGGGGGCTGGGGAGGGGCGGGCTCAGGGCAGGAGCCGGGCCTGGGGAGGGGCGGGCTCAGGGCAGGAGCCGGGCCTGGGGGGGCGGGGGGGAGAGAGGGCTCAGGGCAGGAGTGGAGGGGGGGACAGGGGGAGGTCTCAGGGCAGGAGCCAGGCCTGGGGAGGGGCGGGCTCAGGGCAGGAGCCGGGCCTGGGGAGGGGCGGGCTCAGGGCAGGAGCCGGCCTGGGGAGGGGCGGGCTCAGGGCAGGAGCCGGGCCTGGGGAGGGGCGGGCTCAGGGCAGGAGCCGGCCGGGGAGGGCTCGCTGAGCCCCGAAGCCTTCCCTCCTGACGGCCCAGAAAGCGCCCTTCTTCTCCGCACAAAGGCCCGATTGGAGGCTGCGTCCAGCGCTGGGAGCTGCGCGCCGGGCGGTGGAGGCCTGTGATGCGCTTCCAGCTCCGCGGCAACAAAGGCGGCTTTCTCCGGCTTCTCCGCCTCCGGCCGAGGCCCGGCCCCCGCAGGAGCGCGCAGCGCTGCCCGCGGGCGTCCTTTCCCGTGAGAAAGACGAACCTGAGGGTCACTCCGGGGCCGGAGGGCCCCCTCGCAGGGTCAGCGAGGGGCACGGGCCTCGGGCTCCGGGCAACAACCCCCCCTCCTGCTGGACCGGACCGCCGGCCGGACAGGCCCCGGGCGGGGGGGGGGGGCGCAGACCCGCGTGGAGGCGGGGTCACCTCGCTGGCACAGTGCACGGGACTCCAGGAAATCTCCCCCCACCCCCACAGCAGGCCGGCGTCCCCTAAGGAATTCTATGGGACGCAGCAGGGCTTCCGGGAGCACTGCCTGGGAGGAGCTGCCGTCAGACACGGTAAGACACGGCTCGGCGTGTCCGTGTCCCGGGAACCACGGCCTCTCCTGTCATTTTGGGGTGCGAGGAGGTGGGGGTCCACGTGGCCCCCTTCCAATGGCACAGGCTGAGGCACATGCCATCCCACCCGTGTGCCACAGGCCGGCCTCGGCAGGGTCCCCAGGCCTGGCCGGTGACAGGGCCCATCGGGCCTCCTCCTGGCTGCCTGCCGGGGCCGCCTTCGCCCCGCAGCGCCCCCTTGTCAGCGCACGTCAGAGCGAGCGGTCGCACTTGCGGTCTCCCGGCCGAACTCCCGAGGGGACACTGCGTGGGCAGGCGCGGTACGTCCTTTTCAGACACGAGCTGTGCAGATGCCTCTGCTCGCACTGCGGGCTGCTCCTCGCCCTCTCCAGGCCGCGCCGGCCTTCACAAAGTCAGGTTCACAGTCCCCCGCGGCCGGCTCCCTCGGCCGGGAAGACGCTGGCCGAGGGCTCTTCCCGCCGCTCCGGCTCCCGACCCCTGGAGGAGCCGGATGTAAGCCTTACTGCTCCTTTTCACAGAACGTGGCTTCCTCCTGCGGCTCCATCGGCTCTAAGGCTTTATTTTTTGCCTTTCTCGTTCGGAATTTATGACGACGTGACAGGACACATTTATCCTATTCACCGTAGGGCTGAAGCGTGCGGACACTTCTGGAAAATTCTCAACCGCCACCTCGTCAACCGTTATTCCTCCCCAATCCCTCGCCCCCACCCTCGTTCATCCAGGCCAGGGGCCGGCAAACCGCGGCTCGCGAGCCACATGCGGCTCTTTGGCCCCTTGCGTGTGGCTCTTCCACAAAAGACCACGGCTGGGCGGGTTATGTTGAAGACGTGGCGTTAGAAGGAGTTTAAAAACGTGGCCCTCCGAAGGAATGCCGATCGTGGTGCTGTTGGTTTTGGCTCTGCTGACTGATGAGTTTGCCGACCACAGGGCTGGGCCTCCAGTGACACTCCTTCCCTGGCTGCCCATCGCTCTCCAGGGAGGGCAGTCTGACAGGAACTGCCAGCAACGGCCCCGCCAGGCCCCGCCACAGACCTAAGGTCCAATTCCAACTTTTATTTCATGTGTTTATTGAGTTCAGAGAGGAAGGCAGAGAGAGAGAGAGGGGCATCTGTGATGAGAGAGAATTACGGATCGGCTGCCTCCTGCACGCCCCACACTGGGGATCAGGCCTCGTACTTGATCTCCTGTTCATAGGCTGACAAACAGCCACTGAGCCACACAGGCCAGTGGTCCAAGGCCAACTACTGAAGAGGCCATCTGTCCAGGCCGACCCCTGCGACCAAGCCCCTGCCCTCAGCCCCTCCCGCTCTCCCCTGGCACCAGCAGGACCCTGTGTCCCCTCCGCCACGGCCATGGCAAGGCCCCGCACCCACCTGCTGCCGGCCAGCCCTCTGGGCCACAGGAAGCAGAGCTCGGGACTTCTCCGCGATTTCCTGTGGGAGACAGCACGGCCGGGAAGAACAGGAAGGCAGGAGAGGAGCGACGGTCAGGCAGACAGGGTGCCCGGGCGATGCCTGGCAGCGAGGCACGGCCACCCAGGGGAGGGCGCACCCTCAGGGCGGCAGGGAAACGGGCATGGCCGCCAGCCGAGGACGAGGGCCGTGGGACAGCCTGGCCCCCCGCCATCAGGAGGGGCGACAGCTGGCGCCCCACTTGCTGGGAGGCCGTCATGAGGACACCTCCTGGGGGCACCCGAGGGCCCACCCCTGCACATGCCCTGCGGGCCCTTCCTCTGCTGTGGGCGGGGACCGCACAAGCCCAACCCGGGCGCGACGGGTGGCAGCGTGGGTGCCCGAGGGCGCGAGGCCCAGCACCGCCCACCAGCACCCTCGCCACGGGCCTCACCGTCTGCACCGCGCCGTAGCGCTGGATGGCGTCCGAGAGCTGGGCTTTCAGGTGGTCCAGCTGAAGCCGCTCCTGCTGCAGAGAGAGAGAGAGAGAGAGAGAGAAAGCCGTTAACACCTGGGCCTCCCAGCCCTGCCTCCCTGCAGCTTCAGGTCCCACACTCCTGTGCCCTCCTGGCAGCGGCTGCACTGCGCCCTCCTCCATCCATCCCAGCCTCGCTGCCTCCATCACCTCCACCTCCACCTCCACCACCACCACCACCTCCACCACCTCCACCTCCTCCTCCACCACCACCTCCACCTCCACCACCACCTCCACCACCTCCACCTCCACCTCCACCACCTCCACCTCCACCACCTCCACCACCACCTCCACCACCTCCACCTCCACCTCCACCACCACCTCCACCTCCACCACCACCTCCACCACCTCCACCTCCACCTCCACCACCTCCACCTCCACCACCTCCACCACCACCTCCACCACCTCCACCTCCACCTCCACCACCACCTCCACCTCCACCTCCACCTCCACCTCCACCACCAACTCCACCACCATCACCTTCACCACCAACTCCATCACCTCCACCTCCACCTCCACCACCATCACCTCGGCTCCAGGCACAGCCAGGATCACCATGGACACACCACAAATCACCGTGGGCACCCTAACTCCCAGTGCAGCTGAGCCTTGGCATTGGCACTATGTGCCCCGAGCCAGCCTGAGCGTCGCGCACAGACCTGCCCGCACGGCTGCTCACTCCCCGCCCACAGGACGCCTCGCCCGCCCGCCCGCCTCCCGCCTCGGACGGACGTACCCGGGGGCAGCCCCGCAGCAGCTCCGACAGCCGCTTCACCACGCTGGTGCTGCTGGCGACGGTGCGGTTGGTCTCCTGCTGCGCCAGGTGCCTGAGGCGGCAGGGAGGCCGGGACAGAGCGGGCAGGGCAGAGGAAGGCCGGCAGGAAGCAAGAGGCCAAAAGACGGCGAGGAAACGGAAGGAAGGCGCGGGTCAGGGAAGGGTGAGCGCACCAGGCGGGCCGCAGGACGGACGGACGGAAACGGGGAGCAGGCAGCAGAGGGAAAGGAGAGGGGGACACGGTGACTGCAGGTCACGGAGCCCGTGCAACACCAGCCCGCCTCGCAGGACCCTCGGGCCCGCCCCACCCCCAGGGGGGCCCAGCCTCCAGCCCTCCCTGGGGAAAGGCCCTGGGGTCAGCAGGGCGGGGGCCTCGGAGGAACGGGGCTGGGCTGGCCCGATGGGGTCACGTGACCGGCGAGCCATGTGAGCCGGCCGGGGGCGTTCATGTGGCCGTGGCAGTGGCCGTGGCCGCACAGGCGCACTCACAGGCTGTCCCGCAGCTCCCGGGTGTCCCTCGGCGTCCCCAGGGACCGGAGGCCCTGCTCCAAGGAGGTCGCTGCAGAGACGGGGACCGGGTGAGGACAGAGGTCCCTCAGGGATGCCCACCTCCGGGTGCGGGCCCCACCGAGAGGCAGCCGGCAGCCGGGGCACGGTGGCCGGGCCGGGAGACGTCCGTGTGACTGAGCACCTGCCAGGCCTCCGGGCAGCAGGCCGGCCTCGGCCCCCCCCACCCCCGGCCCAGCACCAGCCCTGCCTGCTGGCTGGGTCAGGCCTCCGCAGGGCCGTCCTGAGGCTGGGAGGGGGGATCTCCCGCTCTCCTCCTCTGCCTGCGGCTCCTGGGCAAGCAGACACCCTCCCGCCCGGTCCTGGGTCTACAGGAGCCTCGGGGCGTGACTCTCACCCCACCCAGCCCGGGGACCAGGGAGCAGGCCACGGCCAGCCGGGGGCTCTGAGGCCCTGCTCCCCAGGACGTCCAGGCCCCAGGCCTGAGGGCAGGGCCTCTGCAGGAGCACGTGCACGGGTGGAGCCCACGGGGTCAGGAGGGGGTCGGGAGGGGGTCACTGACCGCCGTGCTCCACCCGCAGACCCTGAGCCTGGGCTGCAGGCAGTCCAGTCCGGGAAGAGGCCACAGCACAGCCGTGTCCCCTCAGCCCCGAATGCACGCTGGGCCGGGCAGGCCGGCGGGCACTCACCGCTGGCGCTGACGCCGGAGACACCGGCCGCCGCCTCCTGGAACAGCCCCTGCAGGTCCCGCGGGTCCAGCTGGGTGGCTGCGAGGAGACCGGGGGGAGCGGGGGCACGTTCACTGCATGGCCGTGGGCCCAGCACCACGGAGCGCGGACGGCTCCGGAGCTGGAGGCCCAGGCCCCTCCCAGCCGGCCCCCAGGGGGGGGGGGATGGAGCCGCTGCCCGCGCAGCGCTGAGTGCAGGGGAGAAGCAAGGCCATCTGGGACCTCGCCAGCAGCCCTGCCAGGCACACGCAAGGGACACGAGAAGCCAGGCCCCCAGGAGCCTGCACACGCTGCTCTCCGCCCTCCGTGACAGCGAGGGAGCCTGCCCGGCCCTCGGCCCCAGTGCCCTCGGGCCTCACCGCGCCTGGGAGACCTCCACGGGCCTCTGTGACCACCTCACGCATGGCAGCCACCCAGCACACTCTCATTGCCACATGCACAGAGTAGGACACACACACACACACACCTCACCCCACCCTCACACACATGCACACACATATGCACGTGCACGCATGCACATACACCTCACATGCACACATATGCACGCGCACGCATGCACAGGCACCTCACGTGTACACACGCACTGGGAGACGCACACAGAGAGAAAGCAGCCACAGAACAAAGTGCACCACAGGTTCCCTGCACAGGTCCGGGGGCTGGGGCCAGAGTGGGCGCCATGAGGGGGGTCAGCCGCAGCTGGACAGGGCGGGGGGTGGGGGGGAGGACTGCGGTCACTGGGTCCCAGGCCACAGGACAAACCCCACTACGGCCACCGGCACAACAGGACAGGACGGAGGCCCGCACTGCACCCTCCACCCCTCTCCGTACCGAGGGGCTGGTAGCCCTGGCGTGAGAGTCCCCCGAAAGGGCCGCGGCTCCCCAGCCCGCCGCCAGTGATGGATCCATAGGACATCTTCCCAGGCGGCTGCCTCCACGGGGCTGCAGGAAACCGGAGCGGGGAGTTAGTGCTCAGGGCGCCCATGGCCTGCCACCCGCCCACGCCCACGCCCACGCCCACGCCGCTGTCTCCGTCCCGGCCGCCCGTGCCCATCGCTCAGCTCCTCTCCTGCCGCGGTCTGGTGCAGAGACACGGGAACAGCCCCCTCCCAGCGGGACCCTCTCAGACACAGCTCCACCCCCACCCAGCTCTCCCCAGAGCAAGCCGCCGCTGGGCCCCTCCACAGGCTGAGCCCCCTCGGCCACCCGCTGCCTCCGGGGGAGGAAGATGGGAGACCAATAGGACAGCAGTGGAAGCAGGCTCAGGAGGCCTCCACGTCCCAGCCGCGGGCTCTGTGCAGACCCCCTGGGCCCCCCGACACAGGATCAGGAGGGTGGCCGGGCGGCACCACCTGGCGAGACCTCAGGACCGGGATGGACTGCGCCCGAGCAAGCAGCTCCCACAGGGACGCCCTGACAGACAGACGGACAGCAGGCCGGGCAGGGACAGCCAGCCGGTGAGGACCTTCCTGGGACCGGAGCCTCGGCTGCCTGAGCCAGAGGCACTGAGGGCTGGGCGGAGGCTCTGCCCACCAGGGGGCAGGGGCCGGGGGGGGGGGAGGGTGACGGAAGGTTCCAGAGAGACCTCCCCAGGAGCTGGGGTGGGGGGGCCTGGAAGTGGAGAGAGGAGGCGGAGAGAGGAGGCGACGGGAGGGGTTGGGGCTGCAAAGCACGGAGAACGGACCACTCCGCGGACACGGCGGCCGGCGCGGGAAAGCACCGGTCGCTTCACCCCGAGTGAGGGCGCCCCGACACTGAGCGGGGAGCCGGGGCGTGGGCGTGCACACCCCAACGGGCAACCTCACCGCGTGGGCGCTGTCTGTTCAGCACACAGCCCCACGCTGCCGGCCGGAGGGGCGGCCGAGGAAACCACGGAGCCCCGGCCGACAGACCCAGCCCCTGTGCCCGGGCTCACCCTCGGCTTCCAGCTGCCCCCTCACCGCCCCAGCCAGGTCAGCCCGGACCCTCACCAGCTGCCCCCTGGCAGCGAGGCAGCGGCAGAGGCCGGGGAGGCGGGAGGGGCCGCAGGCCAAGGGCAGGAGCCTCGCAGAGCCAGGCCGTCTGGGTGCCAGGAGCGGCCCTGGCTGCCCCCCCGTTCCAAACACCGGCACCGGCACAATGTTGCTCCCAGGATCCCTCCTGCGGCGCGGCTTCCGTGGCTGCCCCGGCCGCCCGCCTCCTCCGGCCTCGTGCCCCCGGCTGGCGCCGGCTCCCCTGGCACCGTCCCCACGGCCGGGAGGGAGCCGCCGGCCCTGGGCGGCCAGACCTGAGCCCAGGGCAGCAGAGGGCGCGAGGGGCCCAGGGTCTGGGCCAGCAGCACCGCCCTCGCCGGCACAGAGCTCCCGCCTCGAGGGCGCGGACTGGGCTCCGGGGCCAGGGCGGATGGGGCAGGGCCTGGGGGTCAGCCCTCCTGTCCTTCAGGGACCAGGACGGCCTCCTGGCCTTGCCCCAGCCCCACAGCCAGCTGGGCGCTGTGTTCACTGCCATCCCCTCCAGGCCACAGGCCACAGGCCACAGGCCACAGCGAGGCCTGGACACCTGGGTCAGCGGTGGCCCCACGGCGTCAGCCTCGGCCCCAGGACAGACCCAAGCTGGCGGCCCGTGCTGCCTGGCCGCCCACCGGGAAGGGACGGACCAGCTTCCCCGTGAGAACCACTGCTCACTGGGCCACTCACCCACCGCCAGCACCTCCCAGGCTAGGCCCGCCCTGCAGCCCCACGCCCCCATCCACGCCGCCCTCACCACGGCCTGGCAGCCGGCTCTCGCCAATCCTGCGCCGCTGGCTGCTCAGGGCCCAGGCCGGGGGAGCTGCACCGGCCCTCCGAGGCCACAGGCCCGGCAGAGGCCCGTGAGCTGCTGCCACCGCAGGGAGTGCCTGGGGCTGAGACCTGTCCATGGTCCTGGCTCAGGGCGCCGCTCACTCTGCTCCTCTGGAGCCCGTCCTTCCCCGCCGCTCCCTCCTCCACGCGCCCTCCACAGTGCTCCCACACCAGCCCCCATCTCAGGTCCGCCTGCACTGTCCTCCCGCTGGACCAGGAGCTGTGGAGAGGGGACCACCTGTTCCCCCTGTGTACAGTCCCTCCTCCCGCCCCTCCCCTCCCCCTTCTCCCCTCCTCCACTACCCTCCTCCCCTCCCCTCCCTCCCCCTCTCCTCTCCCTCCTCCTCCCCTCCTCCCCCCTCCTCCCCCTCAGCGGAGCCCGGAGGCACGTGTGTGACTCAGTTACATCTCACACAGACAGGGCAGGCGTGGCCACGCGTGACCACCAGGCACACGGCTCACACCAGCTGCGTGTCCTCTCAGACGCTGTGATGCCCACGGCAGGGAGCGCCCGGCACACAGACCCGGGGACAGGGAGCCTGCTGCACCCAGGACCTGCGCCTGCTCCGAGCACGCTGCTTCCAGGAGGGGGTCAGGGACCGGGGAAGAGCGGTGACCTCTCGGCCGCGCACGGGCCACGGGAGAGTGGGGGGCTGGCCCGGTCTGTCTGAGCGGAATTGCCCACGGGGGAGGAGCCATCGCCGGGCCCTGAGCACCGAGTCCGCGCATCACGGCGAGTAAGGGGAGTGGGCAGCCCCTCGGAGCAGAGGCCGGCCTGGGAGGAGGACGGAGTGCGTCCGCACAGCAGTGACGCAGGTGGGGCCCGCGGAGCCGGGAGTGGGCGCCGTGAGTAACAGAGTCACAGCCCCGCGCTCCATCCGGGGGCTTGTCAGCTACAGCGGAAGCAGCCACCGCCGAGGAGACGCCTGGCAGACGCCTCCGCCACGGCACCGGCGACAAACAGCCACGTCACGGCCTCCTGGCGCCAGGCGCCCAGGCCACCACCCGCCTGGCCAGCGCCCGCCGCGGTGAACCGGACGCCCCGGGGGCGTCTCCTGGAGGCCTCGTGTCTCTGAAGGCGTCGTGTCGGGAAGCAGAGAGGCCGGGGGGCTGTCCCCAGACGGCCACGGAGGGCGGCCTGGGCCTGGCGGCGTGGCTCAGTGATCGAGTGTCAACCTATGAACCAGGAGGTCACAGCCAATCCCCAGTGAGGGGCGCCCAGGAGGCAGCCAATCAACGATGCTCCCTCATCACTGACGTTTCTGTCTCTCTCTTCCTCTCTGAAATCAAAATACATTTTTTAAAAACAAGGCCTCAGATTCGTTCACAGTGAAGGAGAGGCGGGGCATGGGAAGCGGGCGTCCCGGGTGAACTTGAACTAGGCTTTGCAGGCACCGTGGGGACACGGTCCAGGGGACATTCTGACACTGCACGTCTGCGGACAGGCAGCTCAAAGCATTAAACCCAATGACAAAGAACCAGCGGCGCCGTCCATGCTGAGGCTGCTGGGGGCAAAGGTCATCGTCAACATGACTGACCTTCCAGGCTCCTCCCCTGGAACAGGGGACCAGAGGGAGGCCGGCCAGCAGGCCCCGCCTCCGCTGCACGGGCCCTGGAGGAAGATGGGGTGGGGCCTCGGGAAGGGTGGCCATGCTCTGTCAGTGGCCGCGGCAACACCCCCAGGGCCCCCACACGTGCCCGCTGCCCTGCCACTCTCCAACCTGGAGCCTGAGGAGTGAGCTGCAGGCCTGGGGCCCCCCTCCCACAGGGAGAGTCCAGGGCCAGCTCCCTTTTGCTCGGAGCACCTGCTCAGGCCCCCCACCGTGCGGGCAGTGCCCCTCACCCCTGCGGGCACCTGGGGTGTGGAGGTGCCCCAGCCCCTCAAAGGCCCAGCAAACGGTGCCGCTGGCTGAGCAACAGTCCTTTCCAACTGCAAGCACGAGCCCCGACTGTGTACTGAGCACCTACTGCGTGCTCTTCCTGCCCCGGCCCACAGGACAGAGGACACAGGTGGCCCGGGCAGAGGGCACGGGAGCCCGACCCAGACCAGTGACAACGCCACGAGGGACCTGCCACGTGAGGCTGCGAGGCTGCAGCCCTCCCGGCGCCGACCTGAAGCACGGGGCAGGCAGGGTGCTGGGAGGGGGCAGAGAGCTGACTCCCGGGGCGGCTGGGGCAGCCAGGGAGGGAGGCGGCGCCGGGGCACAGCGGGGAGCGGGCGCAGAGCTGCCCTTGGCAAGGAGAGCAGGACCGTGAAGGCGAGTGACAGGGACAGAGCGTCCGCCCGGCGACGGAAGGCTTTCCGGACCCGGAACCAGGCAGCAGGAGACCCTCCGCCCGCCCCGCCCCCGCCCCCGGGTCAGTGCTGGGCAGCGGGCACTGGCGGAAGGACGCCCGGGTGAGCCAGCTTATTGGCGCTGCTCCCGGCCCGGCTCCGGGCAGCCACGCCCAGGAAGAGACTGGGGCTGCTGGGCGTGGGAGTTTTAACAAGACGTCCCTGCCGGAAACCCGTGGAGGCAGAGGGCAGCCAAAGGTGCCAGGTCAGGCAGGGGCACCGCCTCTGCCAGTGCCTGAGGAAACGGACGCCCCTCCGTCCCAGCTTCCCGGTCAGTGTAGGCTCAGCCTGCACCCAGACCACAGCCAGGGTCCGGCTTGGCACACAGGATGCCTGAGCATGGCATCCGGCCCCCACCCCACGGGTCAGGGAGAGCTGGCCACAGCCCGCGGTGAGCTTTTCCACCCACCGCCACCCGCCTCCCCAGGCACAAGGCCCTCCCCGGGGACCAGCCGCCTCTCCGTGGGACACTCCAGGCCGGCCTCCCTCGCCCTGGGCCTGGGCTCCCGTGAGGAGCCGGCCCCGGGCAAAGTTGGGGGGGGGGGGGGAGGTGGAGTGAGTCTATGGCAGAGACCGGCGTCCTCAGACTCACTTCCCCTGTCACGCTCTCCCAGCCGGCCTCCGGAGCAGCAGAGCGGGGATGCTGGGCCGGAGCGCTGGGTGCAAACCCGCCCGGTCCCCATGGCCCATGACTGTTCAGTTACTCGGGCCTGACCTGCCGGCTAGCGGGGCCGGCAGACAACGGTCAGCTTTCCTGCCTCC